TAATTATAAATGATGAACAATTATTGTTTGAAGAGCAATTCTGACTATTAAAAAGTTAATGAGACTTGAAAATCTAAAAAATCTTAGTTAAAATTTAGTAAGTGTTTGGCATGCACTAAAAAAATATATTTTTTTTTTGCATACATACATTTATTTGAGTCACATCAATCAATATTTATCAACATCTCCTTTCTATTTTTCTACCTACTTTCTCTATTTTTTTACAATTTTTTATTTATTTATAAAAAGTCAAAAAACGTACATATTTAGAACATCTCAAACCACTCCAATAGAACATAAGTTCATAAATTAAAATTTATGTATAAATATCTCTTAAAGACAAATAATACAGATATTTTGAAAAATTAGTTAAAAATTAACTTTTTAATTTTTTTTTTATTTTCTTATAAGTAAAAATATAAAAATAATATAACTCAAAATAAATTAAAAATCAAAAACTGATTTTCAACCACCATCCTCCATGAAAGAAAGAAAAGCTTCGAGAATGGAGCGTGGATTGTTGACCGAAACAATAGGGCAAGGCTGCTTAGATTGGACCATGAGAACCTGACAATAGCGAATGTGTCAAATTGGACAGGCTCATGTTGACATTTTCCGTCTTTGAATTTTATTGTACTATATATATATATATATATTTTTTTTTTGCGACACAGCCCACGTCGTTCTCCTCGGACGAAAATATTTTAAAGAATATTTTGATAGAAAACGAAAACTTATGATCTTCTACAATAAATTCCTTTTCTTTTTTTATAAAAAAATTATCAACGCCCCCCGCCACCCCAAAAAAATAAAAAATAAAAAATGAAAAAAAAAAAGATAATCACATGAAAATGACGATCTTTTTATTTTTTTCCATATCGGCATTTCTTTAATCGATCAAAGTAAAACTATAATGTTAAAAATTTAATACACTACTCATTGCACTAGATTTTTTTTATTTAATAACATTTTTTTCGTTAAATCTAATGCGTATGTATTACGATGCAATGATTTCATTATGGATCTGTGATATTATCCATCAATAATAAAACATTAGATATGATAAATTTCACTGGTTAAATGTATCTAATAATCCAATTACTTGAACATAAAGGTGAAAATTATAAATCCATCTTCAATTTATTAGAAGATAATAACATCATGCATTATTAACGACAGTGATAACATTGATACATAAATATCATCATTATCATATTATTACTAATTAATTATAATGAAGGGTTGAAGAGCAAGCCAAGGAAGAAGGTTAAAATGTGGTTATAGTTAAAAAAAAAATTAAAAAAATAATATCTTGTTGACAAATTTTTTATTTTATTTTTGGTTGAAGATTCTTACATAACATTTGGAGCATTGTCTACCACAAACCTCTAAAGTGTAAACGAAAGATGAGATTATTGTAGTCATGTGGAGAAGATGTAGGGGGAGGCAAACTTTAATGGCTTTGTGTGAAAAAAAACAATGCATGCCTATGTTTGTTTACTTCAAAGTTATAGCAACCACATTGGACCCAGTGCATATCAATCAAACACACACACACAAGCATTGGTCCTAGTCTTTGACAAACCAATCCTTTGACCCAATTTCCTTGATTAAATTGGCACACATGGTACCCACAAGCTCTTGACAATCCTCCCAACTTTTTCTACTTAGTTTTTGTTCATCATTTTAGGTCAAATTACACCCGATAAAGTTTTAAAAAAATATATTGAACCTCACAAAAATAACATAATTACTCTTAAAGTTTTCACTCATGTTACATATTGTTTTATTTTAATTAGTAATTCATTAAGTGATATGTCAACATCAGTGTAATTTATTCTTGATAAAAAAAAAAAAAATGTTAGTTAATTGATATGTCAAATTAAATAATTAATTATTTAAAAAAGTCAAACAATATAAACCCACCACACCGCCAACAAAATAAGAGAAACAGTAGGTTGAGCTATGCAGCATAACTTAACTAATTATATTTTAAAATTTTTACTAGAGGTTTGAGACTTGGGATGTTAAACTACAAAAGGAAATAATAAGTGGAACTATATTGGGTTTGTTTTAATGTTAATTGAGGTGTTAACTTTATAATATAATAATACCAGGGAGTCAATAGCAAAGAATCATCAAAGTCGTCAAGTCATATGAATCCATGATATTATTTATCAACAGCTTGAAAGAATGAATGAAAAATAAATAAATAAATAAGTTTTGGTTTTCAATTGCTAATACGTGCGAAAAAGCAACGGGGAACGAATAAGCTTATGGTCATAGCTCATAAAGAGAGAAGACTCACCAATTTGACTACTTCCAAGTTCCTACTCGATATTTTTATTTTAATATATATATTTTTGTTACATAGAGGGGGACGTTTGGTGTATGGTAATATACTCCTCTCTCACACACATTATATATATATATTAGCGGATGACATACGTAATGCGAGTATAATTCAGATAATTAATAATAAAAATAAATAATAAAGAATTTAGTATTATAATATGTATTTTGCTTAAGTGATAATATACGATCACTAACTTCAAATTTTTGAATATTTGCCTCAAAAAATTTACATCTATTAAACCGTGTTAAGATTATCAGACTTTGATAATAAGTAACTCTTAAGTGTTTTGGAACACACGTAGAAAAGTTTAAGTACAAATGATCCTTGAGCCCATTATAAAAAATAGACTAATTTTTTTTCTTCTAACTTAGTATTTGGCCCACATCGAAATATTCGGAAAACCAATCTCACCGTCCGAATGATTCTATTTGCACTCAAATAATAACACAATACGTTCAATTAAAATTTCAAAATTTTAATTTCTATTATACTCTAATGTAAATTTACTAATAAAGATAATACAAATTAAATCTTAAAATAATTTTTTTTATGGTACATCCAGATTTATTTATTATTAACTGTACCTTAAAGGGTATTTGAAAAAAAAAATGTAAAATGTATTAAGAGTAAATTATAATCTTAAATAATTTAATAAAGTGTAATGAAAAATTAGACGTACTTAATAATTTTTTGGATACAAATATCTCCCCCACCGTCCACTAGCAAAAGATCTAATTAAAGCCGGACAAAACCTCATATGAACTAATTCTAATAAATTATTTACACCTAAGAGATTTAGAATATGAAACTTTAGAAGAAACACAACCTAAGCCTCAGTATTTGACCACCAAGCCAACTCCCTGAGATGATAAAAAAAAAAAAATTATAAATAAATGCTAAAAACTCTCTGCTTTTGCCTCAAGTTATGAGCAAAAAATTATACCCAATACTTTTAGGAAAATGTTTGGACCGCTTTAGAGATGATTCTCACACTCTTAAAGTGATCATGACCTCCATGTATATGTAAAGTCTACTTATATATATGTGAGACCTACATCATGAGTGATTCAGATTTGTAAAAATTTTATAAGAATAGAATCTCAATCATTGCTCATACTTTTAATCCACTTTGAAAAAAAAAAAAAAAACCAAGGTCAACAGTCCTCATAAACTGCAGCAAACAGTATTACTATTAAAGGTCTGTCATATGGAGCTTTTTAAAACTGCTATTTTGGAAAGTCTAAATTGTAAATTTTTTATCCGTTTTCCATATTGTTCCTCCACTCTATTTGTATGTATCTAAATTTGTACTATTATATATGTGAGTTTATGACTTGATATCTAATAATATAATGCCTTCTCCTTCTGCTATGTAACAAACTTTCCTATCCTAAAATCAAAATATATTATTCAAAGGCGTGAACAAAATTTGTATACAAACCTTAAATTTCATTAAGAACACTCTTACCATTTAGATAACATACATATTATGATATTAATTTTTTTATTATTTATTTTTATACCTATCTAAATTACACACATTGCGTATACCACCTACTAATATTATATATATATAAATTCGGACGTGTACGTATTTATATATGACTTGGTTGGAACATATATCTTCTATTTTGGTCCCGTGCTCTAATGTATATTATAATGCATACATACGCAATCACAAGCAGACTTTCAACCAAGACAATAAATTGGCTTACGATCGCTTCTAGAATTACAAGAAATAAATAAATAAAATTCTAGTTGCATGATTTATCAACATAAAATTCTCATAACTTGAGATTATCTTAAGAGAAATATATATACCACATTTCACCTACTTTAAAATTTACACCGTACATAACATAACACATTTCACACCGTACATAACATAACATTTTTTAAACAAAACCAACAAATTTCCATGGAGAAAGGAAGGACCTTCTAAAAAGGCCAAAAAAAATAGACAAAAAGAGAAGAGAAGAAAAGGTCAAAGTCATTGGTCAAGAAACATGAAATGGCCCCCGGAACCTAACGTCATTATATATTGTAATAATAATTAGAAAAAGCTCTCTAAAACCAACCTTTTTTTTTGTCACTAAAGTGAACCATTCAATTCAAGGACCCCACTGGTTGAAAATCATTGTTGACCTTACCATACTCTTCAATTTTGCTATCATATATACCTCACAATTCCTTCACTTCATGTTCTCGCACAAAATTTTCTCAAGAATATTTATTAGTTTTGTTGCTTGGTCATCCATCATTGAATGCCCAACCAACCTTCTGGAGGAAATCAAAATAGGGATATACTGTGGAGGGAAGAAGTACGGCCCGTTAATAAGGCCCAAAAACAGTAGAAGTGGGCCAAAAACCAAAACAAGGGCCCAATTATTGAAAGACAAAATTTGAAGACCAAGTAGAGCAGCAAAAGAATAACGAATCCCCTTTGTATTGGTAAAGCAATGGGAATGCATCCCAATGAACAAAGATCCGCAAAAGGGTCAATCAAGTCCCAATCAGACATGACGAACATTGGATGGTGGGGTAGGCGGTATAGACATCTAATGATGATGACATATACAAGAGAGTTGATGGACAAAGAGGTTAGTACAATCAACCGCACAACATAATTCTTGATCCACTTTCATCCACCTCTAAAAAAGAACTAATTTAACCGTTAGGCCAATAAACACCAATCAAGCATCTCTAAATTGTAACATTGAACAAAAGCTAAAAGGAATGTGGAAATAAATGTTCGTCCAAAAGTGAAGAGCTTAGTCTCCTCTTGAGTGTGATTTAGAATGTGAAAAGCCGAGTATCCATGTTAATATATATATACCCAAATGAGTTACAAATCCAACCATAGTGAATAGAAATACTTGTCAAACCCCACCTTCATTATCCTATTTCAAGCGTTATGTCACCTTCTTCCAAGATGCAATGTAACTATTTATTTGCAGATGTATATTGATTTCTTCAATAAAGGGGCAAGAACCAATTATTTATCTATGCAGTTCCGAGACGGAATTTTTAGAGGGGGAGTCTGTTAGAGTTCTGTCAAAGTTTTGACTACATTGGTTCTATGGAGGATCATCCTTCCATATCCTTACTAGTCGGTATTTGGATGTACTTCTTGTCCCACCTGAAGCCATGAATCTGTGTCTAGCACTAGGTTGTTATTATCGTATCTTAATAGTATTCCAAACAATATCTTCCCCTGCATCCAAGGAAATAAAACAGTGCTATATAAACATAAAAGCTATATATAAAAGCAATATAGAATGATGTATTTTATTCCAGTCTTACAAAGATTCTGCAAGGATGTCATTTTCTTTAGATTACAACCAAAATTAGATTTAAAGTTAGGTTATTTTGTCTAACCTTCACTCTCCTGTAAGATGCTAAAGTAGCTAAAGGCTCCCATGACCTCTGCACCTCTCCTTCTTGAGGATTCAAATTGATCATTTGGCAACGGTTGCATCCACCTAATGACTGCATAAAGAATAAAATGTTCATAAAGGAGCAATGAAATCTTAGTCCATCAAGAGACGCACAAACTTCGAGAGAGAGCACTATGTTCATTGTGTCAAAGAATATACATTCAATTGGCATTTACCAACTCAATAAAAGTGGCAAACAATCAACAATATACTGTTTCATTGCTAACTCTCTTTAGATGACACTAGTTTGGCCAAATGAGATTTCCCCTTTATTGAGGCAACCTAGCCTTCCTAGGAACAATCTAGAATATACAATTAATGTTGTGTGTGGAATCCTCTTAGGGCCTTACACAACCTTCCTAAAACTATCTAGAGTCTATTCTAGAATATTCCATACAAGTCTCGAATTGTATACAATATTCAAACATTCTCTCAAACCTTCCGGGAGGTTTTGGAATCTTCCATTAGCCTCCTTTCCTTCAACCCTCTTTCGGTGGAGATTTTGTGTTAGGCAACTCAGTGGGTTGTGACACTCTCCCCCACCTATGCTCGCAACACCCTCGTAGTGTCTTCTTCTTGGAAGTCTCTGGTTTTCCTCTTTTTTGCCTTCACTTGGACTGTCCTCGTCCTAGTCGTTCTTTCGCGGTTTAGCTACACCACGCTAATCTTGCTTGCCCTTGTGGTCCACCTCTCCTTTAGGTGGAAGCCCCTTTAGCGACTTGGGCGGCACATCACCTTTGTGCTCCACAAGTGCTACAACATTCTCCTAGAATATTCCATACAAATACTAGAATGGTGTACAATATTCTTGCATTCTTACAAACCTTCTGGGAGGTTCTAAAATCTTCCATTAGCCTCCTTTCCTTCAACCCTCTTCTGGTGAGAATTTTGAGTAGGCAACTCAGCAGGTTCTGACAGTAGGGACTGATATGATGATTGATTTGGTAAGACAGCTGGCCTATAATGGTCGCATGTAAGGATTTCTACAATCTACAATAGTTGAACATTCTGTGAAGGGACAAATTATAATTATAGTCCCTAAAGTTTAACACTTTTTTCGTTTAAGTCCCTAAAGTTTCAATTTTGTCAATTAAGTCTCTAAAGTATTAAATTCGAATCAATTTAGTCCTAAGGACAATATAAAATAAAATATAAGCCTAAAAATTACATAAAATTGTGATTAGGCCTAGATTTTAATTTATTGTTAACTTAATTATCCTCTGCATTTCTAATTGCTTATATAGGTATTTTTCTATTCTATTATACTATTATTTATTTCTTCTAACACGTAATTATCCATCTCATCTGATTTTTTGGCTATTTCTAATATTATTTTATATTTCATTTCATTATCTTTTTCTTGTTCCACCATTATTTATAATTCTTCTAGACTATAATTACTTAAATCAAATATATATATATTTTTTTGGTGGTATTAATTGAAAAGATTCACTTGGAGAGTTCTCCTGTAAAAATAATAATTATTATTTTCTACAAGAGCTAACTAGTTTCCTTCTATCCAATACTAGATGTTGAACTTCAACTATAATTTCTATTTGATTTTCCTTCAGATTTCGTTAGGTTCTTTTAATAACCTGATTATAGTATTATTTTGTTCGATAATTATTTGTAGTGTAGTACTATTATTTAAATTGTCTTATTTGACTTCTTAAATGTATCTAATGCTCATATATTAATATTGGCAAAATTAAGAAACCAAACTCTGATATCAATTCTAAAACATATGCGCAGAGGATAATTAAGTTAATAAGAAATTAAAATTCGGACTTTATAACAATTTTATATAACCTTTGGGCTTCTGTTTTATTTTTATATTGTTTTCAAAACTAAATTGATTTGAATTTAATACTTTAACGACTTAATTGACAAAATTAAAATTTTAGAGAAACGAAAAAAGTGTTAAATGCCCAAGTACTAAAGTAATGTTACGCATATAAGTATGAGCGCACCTTCACTTCAAAAGCTAGCTTTTGGGATGAGTTCTACCTAATACCGTATAACATGATATTAGAGTCGGAATACTCGGGAATGGGTAAGGTGTGTGTCCCTAGCCTACAAGCCGTAGGTATTGCCAAGTGAGCGCACTGGGTGTGAGGGAGGGTGTGAAACAAAATCCCTGAGTACTAACTTAATGTCAAGCATGTAAGTGTGAGGAACCCTCAACTCAAAAGCTAACTTCTGGGTGAGTTCTACCAAAACCGTGTAACACATCCTTCTTTTTCTCATAGTATGCGTATTTTGAATCTCTTTATGCTTTAAGCTAGCACAACAAGTAAAGGAGAGTTTTGAAATATACCAAACATTCTAAATTGAAGTCTTTTGCTCCCACCTTATACCATTAAATTAACAAATTGTTGGCCATGTTGCCATGAGAAAATGAATGGATTTGAAAGTAATCAAGAGTCACCAATGTTTTAAGAAAGAGAAAATGAAAATTAAGAACGAGCAAGATATGAAACATGGAAGCAATGAGCAAAAAACATAAATACAATTTGTAACGAGCATAAAGCTAATGACAATCATCAGTATGCTGGGTATAAATGTCAAAAGGTGCAATTTATTGCTAATGTCAAAATGTAGTTAATCTTCATTTTTTCATTTTTCCAACTCCATTTCCACAATCCTACAAGATTAGGACTTACCACGAAATATTTATTACCAATTTTAAGACTTCTCCATTCATCTTCCGCATATGGTGCTCCACCAGATATGACAAGGTTGGGACGGAATCTCATTGGATTGATTTGAATTGGTGGTCCCTGAAAGCCTTCCTGCACATCTGCTACCAACAGAAAATTGTTTACATGAATTTGCCTCTGATGCTCAACTGTTGATAGAAAATCAAAACAGGGAAAAAAGCTAACATATAACCACCATCAGTGAATCTAACAAATTATAACCGAAAAGAATGAGAATTTGCACATAATTTTTCTAAAATAAAAAAAACATAAAAGCAAAAAAAAGCTTCATAAACTTAAGCACAGATCACCGCTTCATAGAAACCTCTTAAGGTAGAATAAAAAGAATAGCTACCACGAGAAGAAAGGAGGTCATCAAAACATACTTGAGCTTAATCTGTTGTTGAGGTCGGAAACACTTTCCTCAGAGATAAGCAAAAACTGAGCTTCATTGACAAAATTCAATTTGGTCTCCAAGTCTCTGCACATGCCTTCTTTTTTGGCCTTGTTCAAGCAGAGAGAATTCTTTGAGCCCAAACATCTTAATAAAGTGCAAGGTCGGCCAACAGCATTGCTAAACCAAGTGTCAACTTCATTATCATAACCCCGAACTTTGTATCTGTTCAACAGAAGATCAACATATTGCAACTTGACAATGATGACGTAACAAATATGAGCATGTATGATGAATATAGGTAACATTTGTAGAACAATTTATTGAATTTCACTGAGTTGGCATTTAATGAAATCTGAAGATGAAAGAGACAATTGAAAATAAACAATTTGCAATTGAACAATCAATTTTTTTAACTTTCTTAAGAGTAAATTGGAAAGTGTAGTCTTCTTTTTAAGGTATTGTAAGTGTGGTAGGTAGAGTTGAGTGTGTTAGGTGAGAGTTGAGTGTGGTAGGTAGATGTAAGTGTGTTAGGTGAGAGTTGAGTGTGGTAGGTAGATGTAAGTGTGTTAGGTGAGAGTTGAGTGTGGTAGGTAGATGTAAGTGTGTTAGGTGAGAGTTGAGTGTGGTAGGTAGATGTAAGTGTGTTAGGTGAGAGTTGAGTGTGGTAGGTAGATGTAAGTGTGTTAGGTGAGAGTTGAGTGTGGTAGGTGAATATGTTTTTCTCTTCTATATATAGGAGAGTCA